CGGGAAGTAGACCTGACACAGAGGATCACTACTTAGGATTGAGATACACAGAAAAAAAACCCTCACTGGGCCTTCGCGCAGATTTCATGCCAGGGCAACCCAGCGTTGTGCGTCTGGTGATAAATCGCCAGATCGCGGAGGTAGATCTGATGGTCTTTGGCATCGGCCAGAACTGAGTCAGATGTGCGAGATGCAGCTTCAACAAAAAACCATAAAGGGCAAGTAGCAGGACTTGATCCAGACCTGCCATTTGCCCAGGCCGTCCAGAGCGAACACCGAAAAGTCCGCAGCGGGGAAGACGTCGCAGCTGCGGTCAGATTGGGTTAACAGTCCAGATCTTACCTCTGAAATGCAAACAAGAAACTGCTCCCAGAGGAACTTCACGTTGCCATTGATCCGCCGAACAGAGTTGTCCCCCAGACCCTCCTGCAGAGCATTCGGGAAAACAGTNNACAGTTCAGACAGAAACTAAAACCCTGATTAAATGCAGCAGAGAGCCTGCACCATGCCATAGATCGTTTCATTCAATGCCAAAAGCGTTGAGAGCCAGCCTCGAATCGTCATGACAGAGCACCAGATCAGATACGAAACTGCAATTCTAGCCACGTGACAGATGCAGGGCCAGAGAGATGCCTCAGCGCTCGGATACGTGAGGTATCTCTCGAGTTCGCCACGAACTCGAGATACCAACACCGCCCGTCTGCTGTCATGGGCCTCAGATCACGAATGAACAGATTAAGTAAGTAGCACCAGCAGCCAGATGAGCAGATTCTGTGATCCATTCTGCCGCCGGGGCACAGAGTGGATCCACCCTCGTCCATCTCTGGACGTATCGTAGATTCTTATCTCTTTGGACAGTTGACTTAGATCAGAGAAACACAGCAGATGCGGTCGCAGATACGTACCCACATGACAGTCCCAGAAACAAACAGATAAACAGGGCAAGGCACTGCACCCGATCGCTTACCAGCTTCCCCATTCCCTCGTGTTGCAGAGCCGTCTTCAGAGCCTGCAGCATGATCTCGCCCAGATCCGCCTCAGATAAGCCAGTCAACCCACACTAACCAAATGCCAAAACCCCAAAACACAGACTCTCTCTCTC